GGTGACAAAAATAATAGAAACGCCTGATTTTGCTTAATTTTTGGCCACATTTCCTTTGTTTATTAATGTTTAATGTACTGTGCTTAGGGTAATGTATTTAGCTTCTAATTAGTCCATAAGATTTTATGAAAATAAAAGAAAAAACCAGTATTACATGTTTACATTTCACATGAAATGTATTCGTAGATTTTTATTTACTTTCATTTCATATATAGTATTGATCTGAACGATTTTTACTAAATACCAGGAATAAATATTTAATAAAAAACTATTTCATTTAAGCTTAACCAACTTTTAGTTGCTCGGAGCTATTTTTGGAACGCTTCATGAAATATTTTCATAGACAGTAAATGCAACTCTGGGTGCATCATTAATGAGCTGAAAAACCAAACAAAAAAAAATTCCATCTGAACCAATATTCCCAAAAATTATAAAGCAAAACAAAAACCATACTTCAACTGAATTGTGATATTTAATTTTATTTTAACATGAAAAATGAATTTAATGTGCAATTTTTCAAGTTTACTAGATGTAAGACAATTTTTAATTTTCTTTATATATTGGATGCTTTAGTTTTAATTCTTTTTAAGTTAAGTTGTAAAGGTGAAAATAGGCCTGCTGGGGAACACAGCACCTTAAAAAAAAATCGGTAATGCGCCTAAAAGCATACCTCGCAAGTGGTGCGGAAAATGCAAGAACAAATATAAATGGAATAGTTTTCGAAATTATGAAATGGTTATTGGTATTTTCCTTCTCAAAGGGGATGATTAATTTGAACGTTATTTTTAAGCTGCCTTTACACGGTCGATTTTTTTCGTTTAACCAAAATCTACCCGTGTAAATTGCAATTCAACCGTAAATAGTAAGCGTTTTGGCCAGTCGATATCTTAGTAAATTTTCCAATTGACATAAATCGACCCGTGTAAAGGCAACTTTAGGAAATTTTTAATTCTTTTTTTTTTTTTGCTTGGGCGTCTTTTGAAGATGTGCCAAATTTTTTTGTCGCCTTAAATACAATAAGCCATCTTGTGCAGCAATTTGTTGATCTTATCCTCACGGCTACCGAAATCACCAACCTCATCGTAGTGATTAGCCTTCAAGCGCCAGCCTCGGGTTGATGTGTTGAGCTTGAATAGCAACAGGAAGTTGGAGGCTTTCTTGAAGTGGGTTCCAACAGTGAATATTTCGTGCACCAAATAATCAACGCACTGAATTTCGTGCGCTTCGCGAAATTTGCGTTCGATCACAAAGCAGAGATTGGGACACGTTGATGGTTGTGCTTGACAATTCCACGTTTGTACATCAATTCACGAACTGATTTAAAATTTGGATAACCCCATATAGGGTTCGGCATACGTAGCATATTAATGGTTGCCTTGCTCAATTTAATGAACACAACGTTTTAATGTGGCGAAGACGGAACTGTAAAACTTTACGCACTTTTTGTGCAACCTTGTTGATACCGCGGATACGGTCCACAAAAGCCAATTTGTATTTTTTAGGCCCGTAGAATTGGCCGCGTTTCTTTGCCACACAGCACAACTCTATCTCACGGCGTCCATCACCGAGTTTTCTTGTTTGATATTTCTCAGCATGCACCAAGTTTTCACGTTTACCGAGTGCAATCACAGCAGAGCGCTTTAGTTTACGTTTGATCAGGGTAACAATTTGCTGACCTGCTCTTGCTGAACTGCAGCTTCGACTCGGGGACAGGAGGCAGCTTCCTGGAAGGTTGTCTGCCCTTTGCTTGCGGTTTCTTACCGGCCGTGATGGCAGTCATTTTAACTTGTTACTTAGCGCGTTGAAAAGGCGAAAAAAAGTTCGCCAAATGTTTGGAGCACATCGTAAATGAGCCACTCGATTTATAACATTTCTATAAACAATTTAATTAAATACTTTTTATACATAGATATGCTGCAACCATGCACTTACTTTCCCAAATTCCATCCTGTTTATCGGCATAATTTTCCAAATATGCCTGCTACTTCATTACTAATTACTCAATTTTCGGGTACGGTTTAGTAAGTGGCCCACCTATTTCGGGGTATTGCGTCCAAAGGGGTGACCCGATCCAAAAAAAAATTGCACACACTTGTAGCCAAGGGTCTACCCATTACTTTAACATCCACTATTGTAATTTTCGGTCACTAATTTATTTACAAATTGGGTTTGAAATATGCCCTTTTTTGTAAAATTCGGAAAATAGCTCACATTTATCACTCCTATTTTCCTTAAAGCAGCCACTTCACTAATGCATTTTTATATTCCCCTTCACTTTAAACTTTATTCGACTTGTTACAACTTTCTTTATTACTTTAATTTTAATCTATCAATCACAATTTATTAAATAAAAACATCTTCAAAACCACGCGTTTGCCTTTGGTTGCATATGCACATTAAATGGTGGCGTTTAGCTGTCAAACTGCTAAATATACAAGAAGGATGAGAGACAAAAGAAAATATGATATAACCCAGTCAGCATTAAAAATATAAACCTTTCCATGGAAAATATGTATTTACTGTCCCTGTGGCTCCTTTCGCTGAGGGTTATAATCCCTAAGTGCGGCCGAAGGCCGCCTACGCAGAAAGGTGTTCTATGCAAAAGGTGTTCGGCCCCCTTTCTTTGGCACCACAGAAAGGAGAATTCTACTGCCTGAGGGTTATAATCCCTAAGTGCGGCCGAAGGCCGCCTACGCAGAAAGGTGTTCTATGCAAAAGGTGTTCGGCCCCTTTTCTTTGGCACCACAGAAAGGAGAATTCTACTGCCTGAGGGTTATAATCCCTAAGTGCGGCCGAAGGCCGCCTACGCAGAAAGGTGTTCGGCCCCTTTTCTTTGGCACCACAGAAAGGAGAATTCTACTGCCTGAGGGTTATAATCCCTAAGTGCGGCCGAAGGCCGCCTACGCAGAAAGGTGTTCTATGCAAAAGGTGTTCGCCCCCTTTTCTTTGGCACCACAGAAAGGAGAATTCTACTGCCTGAGGGTTATAATCCCTAAGTGCGGCCGAAGGCCGCCTACGCAGAAAGGTGTTCTCTGCAAAAGGTGTTCAACCCCCTTTCTTTGGCAACACAGAAGAGAATTCTACGTAGTGAGGGTTATAATCCCTAAGCGCGGCCGAATATTTCTATCTGTCGCTTTTTTCTTAATTTCACAATATTGTTAGTTAATTTTTTCCCCATCATTTTTTTTTTCAAATCGCCTGATAACCAACTTGGGATAATTTCTTTTATTTAAAAATCCCACGTTTTTCGTTAGTTGGGTTATATTCCACTTGAAACTGCTCAGTTTGCCTCGGAAAATTACGTTTTTACCCCATTTTCAAACGGTTCCTTAGGGGTCTGTGGGAGGTCCCCAAGGGGGGGTGGGGCTTTTCGTAAAGTGGCGACTGTCCCCTTTCGAATGAGGGGAGTTTGGTTATGTGGAGACTTTCATATAAATGCATGTATTCATAGTCAGCTGTCGAAGCGATGCCAACGCCAACGCAACGCCAAAGTTGTATGTAAACGGGCCTTAAGGGTTGGCGCCAAAAGTAGTCGGCAGAGCCAAAATAAAAAAACAAGGTTTTGAAGGAGTAGGAAGGGTTGGTGAAATTGCGAGCGGAAGACAAGTGGAGTGTCGAGAATTGTGTGGGAATATATGATCGTAGGTTGTGAGATATCATGCCAGGTGGAAGCCAGTATAACTTGAGAAGTCAAGAAAGCCAACAGGGTGTGCAGGATGCTACCGACGAGGATGGGAATGCGGCGCAACTAGCCCATATGACAGCAATTATAGCCAGTCGCAACGCACTCACAAATGCAGTCGGACAGTTGAAGGCGGTAACAGAGGAAGCCGGCGAGACATTGCGAAACAATATACAGTTCGACGCGCGTTCTAACGTGATTGAAGCAATGCAGCAGGATAGTGAAACCCACCAGTGACGCGATCGGAGCGCTCCACGCAAAATGCAGTGCTAGAGGTTAGTGATTCGGTTACAAAGTTGTATGATCTGTCTATATTTTCCGGTAACACCGAAGACTGGCCGCTCTTCTTAGCAAACTACAAAGATACGACCGAAACGTTTCGCTATAGTAACCGACATAACCTAATGCGCTTACACAAATGTTTAGTTGGTCGAGTTAGAGAAACAGTTGCTTCCATGTTGATCTATCCCGATGACGTGCCAAATGCTATAGCTGAGCTGGAGTTCCAGTTTGGTCGGCCAGACCTTTTAGTGCGAAGCCAGCTTCTTAAAATTCAGCAATTTCAAACTATCGCTGAAAACAAAGTGGAGCAAATTTTAGTGTTTTCAACAAGAACAAGAAACGTTGTTGCGTTTCTAACGTCAGCTAAGTGTGAGCATCACCTCGCTAACACGACACTGTTGGAGCAGTTAGTAACTAAGCTACCGCCAAGCAAGCAATACGAGTGGACCAGATATGCCGTAAATTTAAAGCCGTATCCCACAATTAAAGAGTTTTCGAGCTGGTTAAGCGACCTTGCCAGAGTCGTGTGTCTTATGCCGCCAACAACTGCAATAAGTAGAAGCCAACCGCCAATGATACAACAACCAAGTAGAAGCCAACGACACAGCAACAGCCTCGACGTTTGATGCATCTCGGTAGAGAGTCACAGCAGGAGCACTCTGGAGGTATGCGATGTTACGCGTGCATGGGTGCCCACTCCATTTCGAACTGTCAGACCCTTTGTGAAATAATGAGCGTTCCTGAGCGTTGGGAGAAAGTGAAAAGCCTTCAGCTCTGCTTTTCTTGTTTACGCAAAGGACACAACACATCAAACTGTCGCATTAAAAAGTTTTGTGACACCCTTGGTTGCCGTCGATACCATCACCGGAGCCTTCACGAAAGCACAGCAACCGCCGCTCATGCAGATGCAGCCCGCAACCAAGGTGGGGCGCAGCCCATTCTCAACTGTAGGGAAGCCATATCCACGCGCGGCCACCTGTTTAAATACGTTCCTGTGTCATTATTCGGACCAAATGGTAGGGAAGACGTTTTCGCCATGATCGACGAGGGTTCAGCTATTTCATTAATAGAGGAGAGTGTAGCAAGCCGCTTGGGTCTAAGAGGTCGCAGGCAACCACTAACGTTGCAATGGTACGGGCAGAAGTGTACTACAGAAGAATCGGCGAAGGTTAATCTAGATGTAAGATGCAGAGATAGACCAGCAACCTACAGCCTTCGCAACGTGTGCACTATCCGTAGCCTAGACTTGCCAGTACAGTCCTTCAAGAAGTTCCATTACGCCCACTTCGAGCCATTGCCATTGGAAGATTATCACGAAGTTAAGCCATCGTTGTTGTTAGGTCTCGACAACACGTCATTGAGTGTGCCATCTGCGACCGTGAAGGCCGATAGCGAAAGTCCAGTGGCCATTAATACTAAATTGGGCTGGATAGCATACGGGCCGACCAGAGCAGCAGTGCAAGCACCGGTAGTTCTACATATCCGCGAGAAAAGCAGCCTTACGTCTTTGCACGAACTAGTTACCGAATATTTTGCAGCAGATAACTTTGGAGTTAATGGATCATCAAAGCTTCTAGAGTCTGAAGAGAATGAAAGGGCGCGCCAGATGCTGCAGGCCAACACACGTCGAGTCGGTAAGCGGTTCGAAGCTGGATTACTATGGCGTACTATCCCACCAAAACTTCCACACAGCTATCAGATGGCCTATAAACGACTGCTAGGTATAGAGAAGAAAATGCGATTTGACTCAGAATTTGCCGCTAAATACAAAAAAGAAATCGCGAAGTACATAGAAAACGGTTACGCTAGAAGGATTCCCGACGATGAAGAGTGTATCGACACAGGTTTTAAGTGGTATTTACCTCATTTCGCAGTGCAAAATCTGCACAAGCCCGGAAAAATGAGAATCGTGTTTGATGCAGCCGCCAAAGTAAATGGTATAGCTTTAAATTCCGCCTTGATAAAAGGTCCTGAACATGCTAAGCCATTATTAGACATATTGTTCAGATTCCGCGAGGGAGCAGTCGCAGTAGCAGCAGACATCCGTGAAATGTTTTCACAGGTGCTGATAAAGCAGCAAGATCAACAAGCGCAAAGGTTCTTGTGGCGCGATGGAAACCATCTTCAACCGGTACAACAGTACGTCATGCAGTCGATGGTGTTTGGTGCCATATGTTCACCTTGCATAGCAGAATATGTTAAAAATAAGAACGCAGAAGAATTCCGCCAGCTATATCCCGACGCCGTTGCAGCAATAATAAATAGTCATTATGTTGATGAGTTCGTAGCCAGTTTTAGAGATCAACAAGAAGCCGAAAGAATTTGTCGAGAGGTCGTATTCATCCACGCCGAAGGAGGTTTTCAACTGAGGTCTTTTGTGTCGAACATCAGAGATATCGAGGTCAGCCTGAACAAAGAACCAAGAACAGTATCACAGCCAGTAAGCTTAGAAAGCGTAACCAACCACGAAAAGATATTGGGAATGTATTGGAATATGGCAACGGACTCGTTCGAATTCCAATTCAAGTTTCATCGTATCCAGAAACCAGTATTAGAGGGAATACGAGCACCAACGAAGCGTGAACTGCTGAGCATAATCATGACAGTCTTTGATCCGTTTGGTATTCTCGCAGATTTTCTACTATTTGCCAAAGTACTGATACAAGAAGTATGGAAAAGCCGCATTGAGTGGGACGAAGTGATTCCAGATAAACTTCAAAACAAATGGTTTGCCTGGTGGGGCGAGTTTAAACGCGTTAACGAAGTCCGGATCAGACGTTGGTATTCGCCTCAATTGCAAGCAGCCGTATCGATTCAGCTACACATAGTAGTAGACGCCAGCCAAGTTGCATTCGCCGCCGCTGGTTATTTTCGAGTCACCAGTGCAGAAAATTGTGAGGTCACATTTGTAGCCGGTAAAACCCGAGGTGCACCTCAAAAGCTCTTGTCCGTGCCAAGATTGGAACTGCAGGCAGCAGTATTAGGCGTGCGATTGGCCAAACTAATCTGCCATGGTCATAGCATTCAGCTTGACGCGACAATTTACTGGTCCGATTCACAAACAGTGCTACATTGGGTCAACTCCGAGGAGAGAAATTTTAAGCCCTTCGTCGGACATCGCATCGCCGAAATACTATCGTCGTCTACGCCTCCTCAGTGGCGCTGGATACCTACTGAGAAAAATACTACTGATATTGCTACTCGGCCAAGATGGCCCCCGAAGGTCGAGATGTGCAGTTCATGGTTGCGAGGTCCAGAGTTCCTACAGCAGCCTATGGAGTGTTGGCCCATCTTATCCAATAAGCCTTTACCAGACCAGCTACCAGAAGAAGTCCAGCCGTGCTTCGCCATGCATATCGAAGTAAATGATTGTTTACTTAAGTTTAACCGTTTTTCGTCTTATTTAAAGTTGAAACGGGTGATGGCCTGGGTTCAACGAGCCACCTGCAAATTTTTGAAGCACGTCCGTGCGCACCAGAACAACGACGATACGCAGTCGAGCGGAGCGCTGACCGCCAGCGAACTCAATAAAGCCGAACAATTTATAATAAAAACAGTCCAGAACGAGATTTACGCCAAAGAAGTTGCAGCGCTCAAAAACTCAGCATGTCTCCACAAACAAAGCACCATCTATGCGCTAACGCCGTTCTTAGATAAGGAGGGCATTATGAGGATACAAGGTCGCATCGACGCAGCCGCAGTTTTTCCGATAGAATCCAGGAAGCCGATTTTGATGCCGAACAAACACATCGTCTCAACACTCATAATGCGCCAGTACCATGAAAACATGCACCACCAGAATTCTGCCGTCATCGTTAACGAAGCCCGCCGAAAATATTGGTTCCCTCACGCTAAGTCGCTGCTCAACGCAGTTCAACGCAGTTGCAACAGATGCCGAATCGACAAAGCTAAGCCAGCACCGCCTCTCATGGGCCAGTTACCCGAAGACCGCGTCACACCATACGTCAGGCCCTTTACATACACGGGCGTCGATTTATTTGGCCCCTTTAAGTTTGCAATAGGTCGCCGAAGAGAGAAAAGGTGGGCAGTGATATTCACTTGCCTTACCACCAGAGCCGCGCATTTGGAGCTGGCGCACGATTTATCGACAGATGCCTTTCTCTTGTGTTTGCGGAATTTTGTCAACCGCCGGGGAACGCCAGTACGTATAAGAAGTGACAACGGGACGAACTTCATAGGCGCCCAAAGAGAACTGAAGGATGCGGAACGAATTTTAGACTTTCAACGCATCGACAACGAAGTCGCCCAACGCAACATTGAGTGGAGATTTAACTGCCCTTCTAACCCAAGCTCCGGAGGTTGCTGGGAGAGACTCATCCGCGTTGTGAAAAACTTGCTGCACAAAATTATTCAAGACGAAGTACCGCGGGAAGAAACGCTAAGGAGCGTGCTAATAGAGATTGAAAATATTTTAAATTCTCGACCACTGACAGACGTGCCCTTGGCATCGGAAGAAGACGACCCAATAACGCCGAACCACTTCCTTATTGGGTGCTCTAACTCTACTCAAACACCTCAGTCAGCCGACGAGAAAATTTGCCTCAAAAAGCGTGGCACATTGCTCAAAACCTGAAAGACCGGTTCTGGAAGCAGTGGATACGGCACTACTTGCCACAATTGCTGTTACGTCCAAAGTGGCACGATCGAGTGGAGCCAATCAAGGTTTGCGATTCTCTACTACCTCGAAGCCGGTGGCAGAAAGGACGAGTAGTCCGGGTGTTTACAGCCAAAGACGGGCAGGTACGAGTCGCCGATGTCAAAACAGCTGGAGGAGTGCTACGTCGTCCAGCCTCGAAACTTGCCGTATTATGCTTAGAGGGTGAATCCCTAGGCGATTCACGGTGGGGTGGGGTGTAAGGGCACCCTGTGCCTCTTAATTTCCCTTTGCACAATTTGCCTTTCACACCATTATTCTTCACATCACTAGATGTCATTTCTTGTTTGTGATCATGATTCAATAATACCTTGATTCAATAATACAAGGTTCGATAAACTGACAGTTGTCTCTCTCGCACCGCTCCCTTAGCAGTGGCACCGTGTTGCTTCTTTGCAAATTTACATGGAAACAGTGTAGCTTTGGTGTGAAATAAAAGTATAAGCTTTTGTGCAATGTTTATTTGTATATGAATATGAAGCATATTTAACTGATGAAAACATAAGACTTGGATGTTTACATCGATCTCATAGTAGTCTTATTTTAATTTTGAGTCATTTTGCAGTTTTTATACAGCTAAATAGCATATAAGTTACGTAAATCACGTAGATATATCAATATTACGTTCAACATTTCGTTTAAAATGCCAGATTTCCTGCAAATACATTAGAATTTACAAAAGGAATTTCACTACTAATTGCCTACTTTGCGTACTTTTCTACTACCATTTTCGCAACAAGGGATTGCATTCTTGCCCTTTCTCTGTCCTTCGTAAATGCAACCTTTTGTAAGGGAGGGTCAAACCGCAGCTGTCAATAATTATCTAACCTTGTATTATTGAATCATGGCAATAGACCAAGAACGATAGAGTACAAGATTGCGCATTCCCGCAGAATGACATTTGTGGCAACGGGTAAACAAAGAATATGGCGAAGAACAATGAGTTGACAGTTGTGAATTTGCAGTGAGAAAACGTGTTTTCTTCTCGATTCACCAATTTCTCAAGCCATCTTTGAATATATCAAATTAAGCACAACGTTAACAAAAAATATACAACCACTCTTGAAATGTGTTCAAATGAATAGGTCTTATTAATTAACTATTTAGAATTTTTGTGTTTGTATTGCAGGTGCCGAAAAAGTGATAATATCTTGTCGCAGCGCATGTTTTCCTGCAGAAAGTGGTCGATGCTTGCTTACCTCCGATTTTAATTTGTAATTTGTGGTATTTCAACGTTTTCAACTCAACATGTCGTGTTTAAAAGTGGTCCGTAAAGTGCTTCATGCATATTACGCTGGTGTCTAAATTGTATGGCTTCTCCTGCCGGCAAAACTCTACCCACTTTCTGGCCAAGACGTCGTCGCGGGGGAAAAAAACTGCATTACGGGGCTTTACACCTTCGGCAGCTGCAATTCAACACACGACACGACATTTTTATAAAGTTTTTATTACAAATAAAAGGTTTTTTACTTCAGAACGCACGAATTACTTCGATTTTTCACTTGAAAGTACACAATACGTTTGCACTTGTTTCTAAACAAAAAGTTTGTTTACGTATTGCCATAAATGTCAAAGTCGGCAAAACCAAAGTAGCGGTTTCGGGAATGCGCCACCTTCAGTTCATTTCACCATGGCAATAGACCATGTTTCAATAATACAAGGTTTGATAAACTGACAGTTGTCTCTCTCGCACCGCTCCCTTAGCAGTGGCACCGTGTTGCTTCTTTGCAAATTTACATGGAAACAGTGTACCTTTGGTGTGAAATAGAAGTATAAGCTTTTGTGCAATATGTTTATTTGTGTATGCATATGAAGCATATTTAACTGATGAAACATAAACTGTTTTTAAATTGGATGTTTATATCAATCTCATAGTAGTCTTATCTTAATTTAGAGTCATTTTGCAGTTTTTATACAGCTAAATAGCACATAAATTGCGTAATTCACGTAGATATATCAATATTACGTTCAACATTTCGTTTAAAATGCCAGATTTCCTGCAAATACATTAGAATTTACAAAAGGAATTTGACTACTAATTGCCTACTTTGCGTACTTTTCTACTAACATTTTCGCAACAAGAGATTTCATTATTCCCCTTTCTCCGTCCTTCGTAAATGCAACCTTTTGTAAGGGAGTGTCAAACCGCAGCTGTCAATAATTATCTAACCTTGTATTATTGAATCATGGCAATAGACGTCACCCTGGGCCACAGCTGCGATCATCTGTTTTTTAGAGTTGCTTATTTTGGTCTAGACTGCGCTCTTTTGACCTGAGTTGCATTAAATAGTCTCTTAAAACTTGGTAGTATTTGTTGTTCAAATGGTAACATATATGTCCAAAAACTTGAAAAATATTAGATGATTGCTTTTTAAAAATGCTATTTATAAAATTTGGTTTTGATTGCGACATTAGAAATATTCAGATCAAGGCACATAAATACAGGTAGAAGCCAAAATGACGTTGCTCTCATGAGAACCAAATCTTTAAACTTCAACTTGATTTTATTTTATTTCCTATATTTCGTTACGCTTAAAATGTCATGTCGTTTGTTTTTTTTGAATGTTCGTTAAAAACAAATTTTAATTAACATTTGCATTATTGTAGTGTTGTGCGGTTTATACTTAGTGTATGTGTTAAAAATGCAGCACCTGAAGCGTTGTTTTTTATGTGGTGTTAAATATAATGCAGACATCACTAATTTTTTTAACGTGCCTCAATGCCCTTGGCGTAAGGAGCGTTGGGAAAGCAGCTGTGGGGTAGAGCTGCAGCGAAATGCCTTGCTGTGCGTTAAGCATTTTAAAGCAGCAGATTTCATAAATGCACCAGGAGGTACAGGAAAGGCACGTTTGATGCCAAGTGCTCTTCCTATGACCCTTATGCCGGAAAGTCCTTCCAACAACACTGCAACTCATAAATCAAGTTGTGAAAGCTTAATAAATGATCGCGCTTCACAAACTGAGTAAGCATTGTTAAAACGCGAATATTTATAGAAATATTTTTTATTTTATATTTGTTTTATTGATTGTCCAACGTTATGCCTAGTACATATATCGCTTTATACATACATTTGTATATTATACAAAATTAAAACAGGTACTATAAATATAAACTTTCAATGTATAAAAAAATAGAAAAGAACATATAAATTAACAAATTTTAACTAAAGAAAATAAATAAATAAGTACAAAACTTCAAATTTACTTAAAAACGTCAACCAGCGAAATGTAATTTTTTTATTTTTCCTTACACACGCTCATTTTTATTTTTACTCCCGAAAACTTTGACTTTTGTAGGTTTGATGTCAATTTGGCTTCTACCTGTTTTTATTGTACCATGCCCATGATTCAATAATTAGTCTGTTCCAATAGCAGTCCGGTTTACAGGATTTAGTCAGAACTTACAGGAAGTCGTTCCTATTGACATAAAACCTGTAAGTGGGAACACATTTGAGAGAGTAACTGAGCAACTGTTCCTAGTCAGAAGTTACAGGATTTAGTCCGGAGATTTTTTTCCTGTAAGTTCATGAAAAGTGTCAAACGATCAGCTGATTTACATGTGCAAACAAAAACAGAAAGCGGTGAAAGCAAAGAACCTTATATTTGTTTAAAAATGGAAGTAAACAACGAAATATTTTAATATGTATAGATTTTAATAATTATTTAGTGATATTTCAGCCAAATCAGTGTAGTACCAATGACATGTAAACAAACCGTCTGACGTTTTTACAGGAAATAGTGCTTTTTGCGTTCCTATGCACTTCTGCATCTGTTCTCCTTTTACTCTCATTTGAGAGCGTAAAATTGTAGTTTGACAGTTCCACAGGTTTTAGTCCGAAGTTCAAAGGAACAGACTAAATACAAGGTTAGATAATTATTGACAGCTGCGGTTTGACACTCCCTTACAAAAGGTTGCATTTACGAAGGACAGAGAAAGGGCAAGAATGCAATCCCTTGTTGCGAAAATGGTAGTAGAAAAGTACGCAAAGTAGGCAATTAGTAGTGAAATACCTTTTGTAAATTCTAATGTATTTGCAGGAAATCTGGCATTTTAAACGAAATGTTGAACGTAATATTGATATATCTACGTGCTTTACGTAATTTATATGCTATTTAGCGGTATAAAAACTGCAAAATGACTCAAAATTAAAATAAGACTACTATGAGATTGATGTAAACATCCAAGGCTTTTGTTTTCATCAGTTAAATATGCTTCATATGCATATACAAATAAACATATTGCACAAGAGCTTATACTTTTATTTCACACCAAAACTACACTGTTTCCATGTAAATTTGCAAAGCAGCAGCACGGTGCCACTGCTAAGGGAGCGGTGCGAGAGAGACAACTGTCAGTTTATCGAACCTTGTATTATTGAATCATGAGCCATACCTAAATAAGCGCGTCAAGCGTTAAAGCTGATGTCACATAAAACTTTTGCTTCGCTTTACGTGACAAATTCGCTTTGACAGATAAGATGAATTGTATGAAAATGCACAAAGCATGCCACATAAATCGTTGAAGCGGCAGCGCGAAGCGAAAAGATGGTCAACTCCCATCTTTTTGCGCGCTTTGACAATCAGCCGGTTTAATATTTATTTTGTTTCGTCCAAATTCGGGTTTTCATGCAGAAACATAAAACTTAATTACATTGCTGATAATTTTAAATCAAAATAATTAAAATCCACAGCAACTTTGATGAGTAAAAAAGCGGTACAACATTGTTTTCTTGGCGTTCATTGTGGCATACCTTTTGCGTCTGGCGCTTTGCTGGCAAAGTTATAAATGTCACGCAAAGCTACAAAGTTTTATCTGGCATCAGCTTTAGCCTGTCGGCCTCTCTTCTTCTAGCGTATATAAAATTAATGCGTCAGAGAGAGATAAAGATACAAGCGAAACGCTCAACGCGCTAATTTAGGTACGGCTGTTTCGTAGGAGGCATTACACCCAATCACAAAACACTTCATTTTATTTTATAAATTTGTAATAAATTACAATCAAAATCGCTCACAAAACACGTCGAATCGCTAAAAATTCACCAATGTAGAATGAAATGTAAACAAACCGCAAAACGTCAAAAACGCTCCGTGTCAACTTTTTTCTCAAAATCGATTACAAATACAACGATGGCGGATTACGTGTTCTTTAGTCATTGGTTCATGAGTACACACCTATTAACTCTCCAATATCAAACAAACCAACAAACAACATTCCAACAAGCACTAAGGTCGGTGTTATGCAGACAAACTTTTGTTTGCCAAATTAAATGGCGGCTGCTTAAACTATGTTCACATATCAATATTATCTCAATCAAAGCTCGCTTTTTAATCACCCCGTTTACACAGGCAAATCTCAGATTAATAGCCGTCAAATTTGTTGTGCTTGTTATTCTCACACCTCAAGGAAAATTTATGTTTCTTCTCTGTGCCACCGTGATCACGTTTTTCTGCTATAATAAGCAATATAAATATATTTTAACTTAACATTTTATTAAAAATACCTTTACAAACCTCTTTTACTTGCTAGCGTACATTTTTGTTTACTTTTACATTTGGCATTTCTCCTCTTTTTCGCAAAAACAATCGATAAAA